TATTTCTTGATTTGTCTGTCCTATCTTTCTACCAATTGCAAGATCTTTTTGTTTTTCACTAACATCTGCAGGTTCAACAAAGGAGAATCCAGAAGATAATGCTACAAGTCTATCCTGCATTCTAGGAGAAAACTAAGAGGCTGGGGAGTGCTAAGGGAAAAAAAATACTATAAGAACAGAAGCTTATTGTATTTAATATTTCTGAAAGATCAAATATGGCAAGAAGAGGAAAATCATAGTGGGATTGTAGATGTGGAGTTTTTGTTTTAATTACAATACAGACAATGAGTGTTGTTTAGCTCTACCTCCCCTGAGTGGTTTAAAATTTGGAAACTGATTTTGGAGCACAGACTTGCCCTATAAGAAAAAGTATAGGCATAGGACTAAGGACTGTTTCTGAAATTTTCTGAAGTATCTATAGTTTCAATAAATCTTATTTAATAGGCATTTGAGATTACATACATTATTTGAATTTAGCAGATATGACAGATAAGAGTCAAGGAAACTAGATGATGTGTCCTACATTATAAAATTAACAAATGGCATAACCAGAATTCATATTTTTCTTTTCCTTGCTCGAAAGACATTTGAAAAGGGTTAGATGCTTGCCTTCTCTCCTCTTTGGGGAATTGTAGCTGGATTTAAGGAGCCAATACAGATGGAACACAACACATTTCTCACACTGGTTAGGAAAAGATTGAGACCCCACTGAAAATACACTAGTCATTTTTCATGTGATCTTTGATTATTGAGGTCACTCCTTTAAGACATTTCTTCATTTTCATGCAAATATTTTAGTTCACTACATACCTTCTATGCATTTGGTTAATCATTCCATTGTACATTTACATTATCTGTCTGACTTAATGTTCAAAAATATTCATTTGCTTTATTTATATGATTTATCCATATTGAAGGTAACTTTAAACTTCAGTTTCTCTGTTTATAACAAGGCTTTATGGTAGTGATCATTAGAGTATTTGTGCAATATTCTCTGGTATAGATTATGGTTTTGTTTTCCTTAATTTTTTATAATTTTTTCTTTGCAATAGAATTCCCATGACTTATACCTCTGGAAATAATCTCATCAATGTGGAATCTCCCAAATTTTCATCCATTGTTGTAATAGTTTTTGTAATAGCTGCTTTCTCCTGTATATCCCCCACTATGGTGCTTGCTTTTCTAAAAATCTCTTCACGGTAATAGAAAATCTAGTTTAGAACTGTCTTTATCCTGTGTAGCCCCTTTCTTGTTCTATATGTTACCTGATGAATTGTTTGTCTTACTGTCTTTGATATGTGGATGCTGTGAAAATGTGTCAAGGGTCCCAATACATTTTTTTCCTTTACTTTCAAAGGTGTGTATTGAAATTACTTAAAAATATATCAGTAATAGCCTTTTCGATACATTTGGGTATTTGTAATGATTTTCTTTATTAGGATGCTTTATTTAGTCACTTTCAGTCTTCACTTTTTCTAAATATTTTCCACGTTGGTAGAATACATTGGGCTTTTGCTCTTGTGTTGTCTTCTTTGCCCCCTGTTTTTATTGTGGTACCTTTATCATTTTATTGTTCCTTGTTCTTTGGTTTTAGCTCATCTCTGAAGCTTTGGTTTTATTTGTTTCTTTTTGTTTTGTATGTTTGTTTTTAACCCCATTTTTCTATTGCTCACCTGTGTAAGGAATATCTGAATTATGTTACAAAGCATGTTTGTTGCTGTTGGTGATCATTCTTATAATAAAAGGAAGGTGGACATTTCTTCTGAAAGGCTTTGGAAATGGGATGAGCTTTAAAGTAAGATCAAACCGATTCTAAGTTATAATTTTTACAAAGAAGTTAGTGTCCTTATGAAAGTGATCACAATTCTCTGGGCCTTTATTCACTGTTTCATTACATAAGGCTAAAAATAGTGACCAGACCATATCTTTGATGAGCTTAGAAAAAACATATGAGGTATAATAACACTGGGCGTGTATAAAAGGTAACATGGCAATTGAAGTGAAATGACAGTAGACAAAAAAGAGTAGGTTCCAGCCCGTATGTCATGGGGAAATGTGTTTCCAATAAGAGAAATAAAGCCATTATTTGTAAAACAAAACACAAATGTCTTCATAGAACCAGTGGAGAGCTTTGGCCAGGACCTCCAAAGCCCTGAGCCATAGACATGGCCCCAAGTGGTTCTTCCCTCTAATCCATAGAGTTGCTTGGATTTTCTCCTCCTTTTGGATTCTAGCACATTGCCTTTTATTTTAATTCAGGGCCATGCTGGAGGCACTGAGAGTTGGTTGAGGCTGTCAGAGCTGAATCTCTTTGATAAACTTATGGGAATCTCACTACTCTAATCAAGCAAGTGTTCTGCTTGAGTCCTTCTGTTTCCCAGGATGGATGTCAAAAGGAGAATGGAATTTTGGTTTACAGGTCACTGACTAAAATATGAAAAATGCCTGGGAAAACTCAGTTTTCTCCAAATATTGCTTTACTATTAAGTTTTCAGTTATAAGTGAAAGAAAATATATGCCATTCACTGAAGGGCAGACGAGGGGTAACTTGGTTCGGACATATTGCAGTTGCCATTTAAGTGCTTTGAGTAATGATTTTTTTTCTCTCTCTCTCTTTCCAATTTCTTGGTCAGTGTTTGTCCGATTCAACTCCAGCCATGGTTTCCCAGTGGAGGTTGATTCTGATACCAGCATCTTCCAGCTCAAAGAACTGGTTGCTAAGCGACAAGGGGTTCCAGCTGACCAACTGTGTGTGATTTTTGCAGGGAAGGAGCTTTGGAATGACTTGACAGTGCAGGTGAGTCTCCCTGTGTGGGTCATTCGTGGGATGTAGTGAGCCTCATTGTTAATGTGGCTTATGCTGCCAATCTGACTTTCGTGCCCGAAATCTAATAGAATAAATAGTGCCAGGGGATTCCTTGAACTTTACTCCACACTGCTTCATTAATTCTGACCTTCTTAATTATGAATTGAAACAGCAAGCAGGAAAGAGTGCAGGAGCAATTGTAAGTGAGGAGGAGAGAGAACCACGAGCTGTGCTTAGTAAATAAATGTTTACTGACTACAAGAGCAGCAAGGCACAATTTCAGGGTCTGTTCAATTTCTAGCTTACTTATTCCATTTGAATTTTAATGAAGAAGGATTCCAATAAATTGTTCTCAATCAGGCTGCTCAGACCCTGCACTGTGAGGGATTTGTAACCCGACTGTGACCCCTGGAGGACAGTTAAGGCTGCTGCTCTGAGAAGTAGAGCAGGTACAAGCTGGTTTTGTTTCCTGTGACTCGGAGAACTTCCCTGACCAGGTTCAGAATCAAAGTTGTAAAGTTCCTGAGCTGGTGGAGAAGGAAAGTAGAAGCAGAACAAGAGAGCACCTTTGTGTGTAGTTTTTGCAAAGCTCAATAAAGTTGGTCTTAATGAGCCCCCAACATATTGCAGAATGAGCAGTGTTCTCTACTCTACTGCCCAGTTTTTCTCGGGTTCTCTGAGGAGGCTGCTGCTTCACTACTGCACTCCCCGCTTTCTTCTCTGTGTATCATTCTTTTTTTTTATAATTTTATTGAGTTTATTGGTACATTTAGGGATACAGTACAGTTACATTCATTGTTGGGATCATGTACCTTTACATGGCAAGTCTTGATTCTCATTTTTTCCCCTTTCCTCTGCGCTCCCTTCACCCCCTCCTCCCCTCCCCATCTACAAACACTTTATTTTCATCTTTTCATTCTCTCACATTTTTTTCTTTTCCCTTTTTGTTCTTCCCCTATGCATCACACCTTCCCTACACCTTTAGCTCCTTTCTTCAAATTTCTAAATGTCAGTAATCTTATTAGAATCTTATGCCTTGTTGCAGAATATTCACACCAAGGAAGCTATTTGGTATTTACATATGTGTGACTTATTTATTTCACTTAGGAGTATATCTTCAATATGTATCCATTTTCCTATGAATGAATCTATTCTCTTGCTCTTTATGGCTGAGTAATATTCCATTTTATAGAAAAACCACAACTTCTTTATCCAGTTTCCAACGGATGGGCAAATAGGCTGTTTCCAAGATTTAGCTATTACAAACTGTGCCGCTATAAACATGGGTCCACATACTTCTCTGTGATATGATTCTTTTAGTTCTTTTGGAAAGATACCCAGCAGAGGGATGGCTGGGTCAAATGGAACCTCCAGTCCAAGCTCTTTGAGGTATCTCCATATTGATTTCCATAGTGGTTGCACTAGTCTGCACTCCCACCAACAATGGAGGAGGGTTCCTTTCTCCCCACAACCCCGCCAACATTTGTTATTGTGTGATTTCTTGATAGCAGCCATTCTTTGTGGGGTGAGGTGTGTATCATTCTTTTGAAGCAGTGATTTTTGTAGGGATGTGAGGAAATGGCGAGGGAACTGATGAACCGTGTTATCAACTAGAAGTACAGACCAGTGGTTGTTGAGAAAATCAGCAGGTATATTGCATGTGTAGTGAAGTCAGTGTAAAGGCAGGAAAAAGTCCTTCCTAGATGGCTTGGGAGATGGTGAAGGACACATGTTCCCCTTTTCCTAGCCAGCACCCATTAAATGCTCTCCTGAGTATAGCTATGTGGGAACCACTACTCTGCTCCTGGGGCTCTGTATCTAACAACCCTGAGTCCAGCCTGTCTTTGCATAGACTTCCTGTCACTGTTACTTTGAAGCCATGATATTTACCACTTTGTGAAATGCTATTGGAAGGTGGGTATACAAAGGAGCTATAGAAATGTAAATTGTTCCTGTCATTCTCCCTGCATCTCCTGCTGCTGCTGGTGAGGCACAAACTCATTGTGCACAAACTGCTGTGCTTTGCTTTTAGGCAATTTGTTTTTATAAGGGAAGTGCATGTGCTAAAAAGTGTTTTGATTTTTTTTTATTTCAGTCAACTAAAAAGCTTTTCACTGTATCTGCCAACCTCTAAATCCAAGAATGTTTCCATCAAAAATAAATGATTTAAAACAGCTTCTTGAATCCAAATATTGTATATTCCAAAATTTTAAGGCTCTAAAACTGCTCAGCTATACCATAGAGTCTGATTTGGGAAACAATTAGTAATTTCAAATTCAGTTAGACTAATTCTACAGACCTTTGATTTTTACAAACATCTACGTATACTTTATTAATTTAAGTGTCTTTATTTTGGCAGGTGCCCCTTAAACAGTTCCAATGTTCTGAACTTCTGAAGGGATTCAAAGAAGGGCAAAACTCAGCCCCTATCTTTGTATAGACTGTTCTTTATGTTGGGCTCTGGATGCCAAACATAGTTATTGCCATATTGCTACTTAAAAATAAGTATTACAAAGTTTAAAGGTGAACAAATTATATCTGATTAGAAGTCATTGAGAAAAATCACATGAATGAACTGAGGTCAGATTCCATAGATGAAAGAATGAGCACAGGTGAGAGGAAGGGTGAGTTCCTGTTCTAGAACCTAGAGGAGATGCTGAAGGTTGGGAAAGCAATAGAGTTTCAAACTGAACTTGTCAGTCTTGACTTCTTTGGCATTGGGTATCATTCATGGAGAACTGGGGCAAAATGGGATGCCAGCAAGAAAACATGGAAGTAGGAAGTTGATTGTGGTAAGGATTGTGGTTTTTTGTGAGTGATGAGAACTGATGAAGTCAGGATATGTGTGTGGAGATGTCATGTGGTCTTGGAGAACTAAGATCTGCGAATTTAGCAGCACATGTGATATTTAAGTACCATCCACATAGAGGAAAACATATATGACAGTTTCTGAGATAGATACAATTGCCAAGGACCAGAGAGTGAAGCAGCATGAGCGTTGTCTTTATTTAGACAGCAAGGGAAGGAGCTGTGAGAGGGAGTGCCATTCATTCAGCTGACTCGAGAGTACTTTGAAGACTTTCTCAATTTTGAGGATAAAAGGTAAATGGAACATTTTCTATTCCAGTGAAGGCAATTAGAAAGGTGAAGAACTGGTTGATGATGTTTTGGATAAAAAGGGAAAAGGTAAAAGAAGCATGTAGGCTGTGAAAAGATGGAGAATGAGTAAAAACAGAGCATTTGGACTTGGAAACTAGGTGAGATTCCAGGATTTCAGTTCAGAATAGTGGTTCGTGAAAGCTAGCAGACTTCAGTGGGGAGTCTAGAAGCTTGAATAACAGAAGCATGTGATTAATATGCTCAACTCAGCCTCTCACTGAAGCGAGAACAGACACATATACAGTGGGTATGTGTGTGAGGATTACTTAGAAGAGAAGTGGGTCCCATACTGTGTTGTAACCTTGCCCTTGCTCCTAGTCTTTGACTTTATGTCGAACTATCATAAACAGTATGAATGTACCATTTTATATTCAAACTATTTTCACTCAAGATTATATCATATGCAATTTTTCATATTATATAATATTCATTTCTAAGGTTACATAATATTCTACAATGCTTATATCATGATTTTGCTCTTAAGTTGCCAAATTGTCTAGCCTGTAATAGGAAAAAAAAAAGCAAAATGATTTTTAACTGTATATGTTACATGCTCAGAGAATTTGGCTTTCCTTTGTGTTGAGTTGGTCATTTGTAAAACAGAAATAATAACAGAACCTTTTTGCAATTTTGTGGTCACTAAATTAGTTTATTTATATAAACCTCTTATATATAGTATATGAATTAAAAATTACTACATTTGATAGAATCATGATTGTCATCATCACTTAGCATTTACTTCAGAATCTAAGAGATTAATGCAAAACTCCTTTTAATTGTGAATTAGAGATGAATATATCTGCAGTTTAGTGGAGGTAAGGCAATAAAATGGAACCAATCCCAAAAGAACATATCCTGAGTGTTTCTATTTTAGTATATTTTTGGAATATTGCATAGTATTCCAAAACAATAGAAAAAGAGTGCAAGCTAGTGGTTGCTAGGGTCTAGGGAGAGGAGTAGGTGCATGGGAGCATTTGTGTCTAAAAGGGCAGCGGGTGAGAGCCTAATGTTCTGTATGTTGACTATAGCAATGCTGATAGCACAGCTGCGATATTTCTCAGTTTTGTAAGATTTCATCACTGCGGAATGCTGAAAAGGGTCCTAAGGATCACTCTATGTTGTTTCTAACAATTTTATATGAATTTATTGTTACCTCAACCAGAGTTCAAAAAAAAAAAAAAAACAA